TAGCTCTCAGCAAAGTAAAATTTGGATATTACGATGAAATGGGATCCTCATTTACTCTATTAATGATCTCACAGTGGGCCTTTAAAAATCTTCTGCTGAAATAAAAATGACAATCATGAAAAGAAAACAAACAAACAAAAACACTATCTACAACCTAAGGAACCAACAAACACAGAAAACAAACAGCAAAGCAGAAAGCAAGGAACAAAAGACACCTAAGACAACCAAACAATCAATAAAATGCTAGGAATAAATCAACACCTTTCAATAACAACTCTCAATGTAAAGGTTTAAATTCCCCAATCAAAAGACACAGATTGGCTGACTGGATTAGAAAGGAGGACCCAACTATATGCTGCCTACAAGAGACCCACCTCACCCATAAAGACTCACATAGACTAAGAGCGAAAGGATGGAAAAAGATCTTCCATACAAACAGAAAAGAAAAACGAGCTGGAGTAGCTATTCTCATATCAGACAAAATAGACTTTAAACTAAAAACCATAAAAAGAGACAATGAGGGTCACTACATAATGATAAAAGGACTGATGCATCAAGAAGACATAACAATCATAAATATGTATGCACCCAATGTTGGAGCACCCAGATTTATAAAACAAACTCTATTAGAACTAAAAAAGGAAATAGACACTAATACCATAATAGCAGGGGACCTGAACACCCCACTCTCAATATTGGACAGATCAACCAGGCAAAGAATTAGCAGAGAAACACAAGAACTTAACAAAACTTTAGACCAATTGGACATGGCAGATATCTACAGAACATTCCATCCAACAACCTCAGAATATTCATTCTTCTCATCAGCACACCACATACCACATACACACCACACACACCACACAATACACAAACATGCGCATACCACACCACACAGCATACACATACCACAAACATACTTGCACATACCACACGGTGTACACCTACCACACCCACATGCCCAACACACATGCACCACACACCACACACACATACACCACAGATCATCTGGATCATCTGGAAGTGAGCTCCCAGAATTGGACCCTGTGTTGAAATCCTCGATGGTTTGGGAACAACTAGGGACCATCGTTCCCTGTGAAAAGTCACGCGGCAGCCTGGCCTGTGCTCACCTGCAGACTTGCGGGGGGTCTGGGCAGCACAGCTGGAGGCGGGGAAGAACTCAGGAATGTGCTACGAAGTCCAATAAAGGCACGTTTCCTCGGACCTTTGCTATTTCTGTCAAGAGTTCTATGCCACCCAAAGTAAAGACAACCATTTATGAGGTAACAGAAAGAAAAAGGTTAAAGCTAATTGGGCTCAACCTACGTCCTTTAAACATTAAGTCCCCTCATTTGACCCTAACCTCAGGGAGACTTTCCTTTCCCTTTTCTTGGCGGCTTTGCCTAGCCCCCTAGTCCTTTCCTCCCTGAGCTGTAAGGGCAGGATCAATGGCCTTGGCAGCAAGCTGAGAGCAGAGGCCGGTGCAATCATTAGAATGCAGCAAGCCAGAGACCCCCGAGTCAGCCAGCCCAGCACAGTGTGAAGGGTCAGACCCATTGACCTCCAGACCTGGCCGCTCAAGCTGCTGCTCCTCAGTAGGTGGCATGTGAATCCCACAGAAAGTGTGGATAGAAAAGTCATGAATCCTGTGGGCCCACCCCCAGAAAGTGGTTCCTTGGAGAACTGGGAGGACTGAGCCCAGTCCTGTGGCTGGGGACAGTGGTAAATGTCAACCTAGCGGCAGCAGGTGTCAGTTGCCTCACGAAGAGCTCTGAACTGGAGTCCTTTCCACCCCCTTCCCAGCCAAAGGGCCAAGCAGGGTGAGGGCTTCATAGCTCTGCACGAGATCAAGATCATCCCTCGGTGTACACATTGCACCAGGCATATTAAAGTAGAATACTCAGAGCCACTGGGACCAGCATACTAGCTGCCAGCCCATTTCTCACCAGAGTTACACAGCGACTAGGGGTTGTCTTCCAAAATGAGGATTGCCGGGATATGCAAAATATTGTCACCAAAGAGGGTCTGGACAGTTAGAATAGAGGATGATTAAAGGAGCAAGGAATCCCGAGAGTTTAGTGTCCAGTTTCTCCGTGAGTTTGGGAATTTGTTCTAGTTCTTCAAGCAGGGATGATTCAGCTTCTGCTTGAACACTTCTGGGGACAGGGACCCCTCTTTAGAAGTCAGCCTACTCCATTATGGAAGAGTTCATTCTTCCTTCTTAAATGGATGTAAAGTCTGCCCTGTGGAACTTTCACCCACTGGTCTGGATTCCACCTCTGAACCTCGACACAGGGCAGGATGGCCCGTATCTCAGCCACTGAGCACAGCCTGCAAGGGGGTCTGTTGGAGGAGCTGGAGTGGGCTGGCAGCTGCTTGGATCAAGGGAACCT